ACTTCTGGTTTCTGCTGAATATAATTAAATTAATAGTCAAATTAACACAATTCCCTCGAATTTATAAAACAACCTGTTAAATATGTGCTCTTTATTTGATTTTTTTTTTGTTTGTTTTCTTGCATTCATTTTCCTTTTTTCTGTAACCTTTCAGGGCACGCTGCTAATTTATTTAATATTGTGAGGGGGAAAAAAAGCTTGCTAACGTTTCATGAGTTTACTGACTTCAGAATATTGTGTGGATTAAAGCTGGACCATAAACAATTGTAAAGAAATTTGTCTTTTTTTGTGCGCGTGTGGAAGGAAATAACAAACTAAGTGTTCATACAGTCTGTGCCAACATAATCTAGTCGTGGTTTGAGTGGGATCATTTTAACAAGCATTTTTTTATTTTTTTTTACATTATTTGTACAACTTTTGTCAATTTTTTTCTGTATCATTTGAAATAGCATTTCATAATAACAACAATAATAACAATTATTATTATTATAATTTCTAATAATATTACTGCACTACCAGAACGGATTTGTGCTCGCGCAGTTTCTGCCTTGTTAGTAGAGATGATTTGAACGCGGTGCTGATTTCAGGGTCAGGCTGAGAGACCCTCAGCACGGTGTTGTGAACACAGCCGCGTGTCAGCCTTGATCTCCGGACCTGCCTCGTGTTATAGGAAGAAAAGTAACGAGCTTATTCGGCCCACACGGGACTTGTCGGGAAACCTTGAGACGCAAATCAAATATCATTTCGCATAAACAGCCTCTGCGGTATACGCAATTGTTTACAATACAATAATCTCATTTACACATCGCAGCTCTTGACATTTCTATAGCCTATATATATGTTCATATTTTCTAAAACCCATTTCGACAAAGTGTATCTATAAAATAAAATAATGACTTTAAAAATGTAATTTAATTACTTGATGCTTTATTTATTCATTCTTAATGCTGTATTTATCCATATATAATATCAACTTTATATTTTGCATTTGCGTCTGCATAAAAGCTCCACGAAATATATTAGTCTGCCAGATTTAACAATTTATACACACTCGTTCAAATTCGAATCTGACAGATTAGAAACGAGTTTAGAATTTTTGTTAATGAAAACAATAACCTACTTATATGTCAATTAAGGCTTTTGAATGTCCAAACTTTACAGATTCATAACAACCATATAAGTATATTATTTATTGAAATATAATTCATATAAGTAGCATTTGTAACATATTTACCCTATTATTAATATGATTTTTAAGAATAAGATTTTTAAGCAAGTGGAAATTGGTAAGTACTTGGTAAATGAGAAAAAAAGACATTCTTACAGTGCGTGCATGTTTTAAAAATTGTCTAATTAATTAGTTTATAATAATTACAATGTATACACTAATAATAACAATGTGTAATACAAACAATATGTAATAACAATCTGTTTTGCAAAATCATTACATATTAAGTACGTGTTTTTTTTTGTAGTCGTGTACCTTTCTAAATGAAGAGGCAACTGTAATGTGTAAAACGTTATTAATACTGCATTGGTTTACAGGCTGAAGTTTCATTCTTGAACTGGAATACACATTTTTCTTAACAGAGGAATTGAATTATTGTTAGTAGATTTATAGTTGTATAATGAAATAGATCAGACATAATCAGTGCCTCATCATCACTGACACACACACACACACACACACGCACACACACACACACACACACGCACGCACGCACACACACACGCACACACACGCACACACCAGCAGTTAGACAATTGAAATGTGCTGGTCTAGTTGATGTTGGAAAATAGACAGCGCATTCATGTACATTATGAGAAACACGAAACCTGGGCAGAAAGACATTTCAAGAGGAACAGTGGTGGGAGACAGAGAGAGAGAGAACGAGAGATCTGACAATTGCCTTAACTCTAATGAATTTTTTGCAAATTGTAATCAAGGCTGGCCGTGGTGGCTGACAGATAAATGGGCCCGGGGGGATTGGCTCGGGCCTCAGCTTTTCACTCCAGCATGTCCCTCCTGCACTAAATTAACAGCGTCAAATTAACCTCCAATGATTAATCCTGACGGAGAGCACCGGCTGCAGGATGACTGAAACACACATATGCTGAGAAGTTTCTCTCAGATTTATATTAAACAACAAAGTAATAAGAGGAAGACAAGGATACATCTGAACTTTTTGTAATATAAAACAATTTTTCAAAGTAATCTTAACAGGCGTGTTTTTATTAAATTAAAACATTTTTAATTATGGCACATTTATTGTAATCATAAAGATGATTTATGATTTTTTTTTCATTTATAGATCTGTATATTGACAGAAAACCTACATATAAAACATCAAATACCTAATTCAGTTTATTGCATTTTATTGAATCCTTTACCAGTTATAAACAAACTATGTCTGTGATTTATGTGAGATCTACATCATTTATCACAATAAAGCAGTGTAGTTTATAGATGTTGATTTTTGCTTCTTTACCCTCATAAATATAATTAGGCTAATACGGGAAAATGCCAATATTATTATTTTACAGCAACATGCACAACTGCTATTAATAATTAAATATGTTTTTTCAATGAGCGTTAAGCAGTCAGTTTCTGTATATAGTGGTGGAGAGTGGTGTGAGATGTAACACAAAACAACAATTATAAATAAGCTACGAATATGAAAACACTGTCATGCATACATATATATCATATTTACAGATTCGCTGTAAAATATAAAGGATTTATTGGACAAAAAAACGTTTAAGGTATATAAGTAATTACAATTTCATGTCTGGAATATAGTAATTCCTGATCATGTCAATGGATGTTAAATGACAGAACAGGCATCATCCAAAAATATTTTTGTTTAATTTGATGTATAACAAATACATTTATATATTAAATAAATGTGCAATACTTTAAATTAACAATCAAAAAAAAAACAAAAAAACGATAATTTTGAGTACAGTTTTCTATTTTGGACTGAATTTCCTATATTTTGGCCATTTTTAATAAAGGGGTTTACAGTAAAATGAAGACGGGGCACAACAATTTAAAATTGCTTTTTTTTTTTGAAGTGTCACTCTTGGAATTGGGTGTCAAGTACAGCACTCTTTGCACGTCACATTAAATAACCCAATTTAGAAATAGATTTATTAACTGCTTTAATTTGTATTGGGATTCTCTCAAAGTTTAAGACACTGATTTAACAGATGTTAACAAAATTTAAGATTAAAACAAAATGTGACAACGCACCCATCTATGTACGCCAGGCTTAGAGGATGTGATTTTCCAGCTCTTTATCTCTGAACATTTGGATTATCATCACAACATGATGGTGCAGCTCACGCCTCATTGCAGGGCTTCTCTAGCATTTCTAATGCCATTATTGTGTGTTTGAGAGGGACACACACACACACACACACACACACACATCATGATAGATGAACAGCTCTGTTAATGCACTGAACCAGTGCTTTGCCTCATTGGATTTCTAAGTGGAACTGATTTATGATGAGAGATGATCAGAGTAGATCTGGACAAGATGCTTCAGGGTTTCGTGGTTCTGGACCACCACTGACATTTTAAGGATTAATTTCCCATGGCTCCTTTAGCCTGTCAACCTTCAACAGCTTACAAGCTGCAAATGTTTGTGAAAGGAATTATAAGAAAACAAACACACTTCCTGTCACTAACTCATAATCACGCTCCCACTTCCCCTCTCAACCACGAAACATTTCCTCTTTCTATAGATTGCTCTTTTTTTCCTCCCTCTGCCTTTCTGCCTTGTCTAATCTCTTTAATTACATCTGTTTTCCTGGGCCGCCGAGGCCTCTTTTGTCCTCCCGGTCAGGGGGCTTTTGTGGGGGCCGAATCAAGCCCTGCATCCCCTCTTTGGATACTTTGTGGAGCTGCAGCTCTCTTCCTGAGAGGGAGAGGATGAGAAGGGGATTAGAGGATCTTTATCTCATTAGAGACACAGTGAGCCGGCAGGGTCCGGCTTTAACGCCTTCATCTGTACCGCGGAGGCCAGAGAGCGGACCGCACCCACTGACAAACCCTAACTAGGCGTCCGGGAAGCGCGAAACACATGGATGTGTGCGATCAACTTTACTTGCCTGAACATTTTCAGAGAAACACAGTTGATTTGTATTTGAGATCTGTAAAGTAAAAACCTACAGAGATACTTTGAAGAAAAAGCCAAAGTATATGTAAAATAAATAAATATTATGAATTATCTATTTAAATAAAAAATACACATTTATATAAAAGCTTACATACAAATATTATCTATCTATCTATCTACTCATCAATGCTTAATAATACTTTCATATTATTACACGTACTTAATGTATACATAATTGATGTTTAAATATTATATGAAGTACTTGTCAAAAGTTTGCAAACACTTATTTTAAAATGTTTTTAATGAAGTCTCTTAAGCATTTATTTGATCAAAAATACACTAAAACATTAATATTGTAAAATATCATTACAATTTGAAAATACTATTTTCTATTTTAAAATGTAATTTATTTGTGTGATACAAAGCTGAATTTTCAGCATCATTACTCCAGTCTTCAGTGAAATCATTTTAATATGCTGAATATGAATATATTTGACTGTATATAGCCTACTGATACTGTGTAAATACAAATATATAATACAAATGTAACATTTTATTTTAAGGTGTCCTTGTTACACGTTACATGTACTTACTATAGTATTAGCACAAAATTATGCATAATTACATGCAATAACCCCAAACCTAACCCTATGTAAGTACATGTTGTTAATTAATATTATTCAGTACTTAAATGTATAATTACACCGTAACAAGGGCACCTTAAAATAAAGTATAACCAATATAAATATTATGAATAAACATATTACAAAGTTACTTACTGTGGGTGTATTTTCTTTCTCCTTGAACCCATGTAATTTGGTACATCTCACAATAAATAGAACACAAAATAAAAGGGTAGAAATCAAAAAGAGAACATTATATTAGGAAGCTTTTTATTGAAAAGAGACACATACAGTATAAGACTCTGCATCAGGTATAATTTTTCAACACAGTACTGTACAGCTGACACAAACTCAATATAATAACAATAATACTTAGAAATACAACACCAATAATTCGAATCAATGATAGTTGTGATGCCAATGGACTGAATAAAGGAACGAATGCAAAACCCAAGTAGTGTGAGAGAGCTCCTCCCCTTTCAGATTAGCATATTCATAAATAATTAAATGGGTCTCTTGGGTTTGAAGGTAACATGGAGACGGTCATTGAAATGAGGTAACAAACAAACAAAAACAAGGTAAAAACACTACGTTTTTCTCAATTTTTACATCTATTTACACAAAGCGACGACTGGCGAATGGAAACGCAAATAAAACTGAGGATATGTTCAAGCAACTTGGAACGTACTGATAAAGCCCCCTTGAAGTCTGCATTATTTGCTTGCAAGGGGTGACGTGATGCTTTGGTTGCTGTTACGGTATTGGTTGGATTTTTGTTTATTTTGCTCATTCATGCTTTCTTTATTCAGTTACAGATGGACAGATGATGCAAAAAGAGGTTTTCCCAAGGAGAAGAATTACAAAAGAAGCAGATGGGAGGACAGACAAAACAAAAAGGAAGAAGAAATGTTCACAAGTTGATAAAAAGTATTTTTTCATATTAAAATGGCAGACTCTTTAGCGTCACCTGTCAGGGTACAGTCATTTTTATGAAGACGAAGACAATTACACAAGGAAGAGAACATTTACATCCATTCATGCAAAAAGATAAAAAACAACTGTTTTTCCACAGAAATGATTCAGAGTGGACATTATATTGTGGGTTCTTCACAACAAGTGATCTGTGTTCTGTAGTGCATTTAGTCATAAATAATGGTTATTGTGGTAAAGCCTCTAAAGGCCTGCAACGCTCTATATACACACAAGCCGAAAACTGAACCCTTATGAGCTGAAAATCAACATACCTCAGCGTTTCTCTCTTTTCAACTCTCACCGCTTTCCTTCAAAAGCTCAGAAAAACTAGTCAAGATTCTCTACACAGTCCCAAATGTCTATCAACTAGCTTAAAGACTTTCCAGATCGTTTGTATTGCGGAATATACATTCTACAATACAGATCTTCTCCCATCTTCAACCCTAAGCCAAGTAAGTACCTTCACATTTCTACTACCTAGTGAAGAGTAAAATCAATGGGAGCTGAGATTAAATGATCAAAGCCCATCAAATCATATTATGGAATGAGTCAATATCAAAGCCTTCATGGGATCTCCAGTAATGATATATACGCCCTGAGACAGAGTCTTACATTGGCTTTACGTCTCTCAATAACAACGGCAGCTCAGATTGCCGTGGTGACGTCCAAAACACGGTAAACTATTACTCATGTGTCTACCTGGCTGAATTTTCACTTCGTATTGCTTTAATACTCCTTGACACATGATAAAGGAAGAAGACAAAGGCAAGGAGGAAAACTAAGCTATCTACGATTCAGAGAAAGGGAGCAGAAAGAGTGAATTCGACTCAAACAGGCACACTTGCAACTTCAGACTGCACTGAAACAAGAAGGGGGTGAGGTCAAAATATATAATAACGCCTTTTGTCAGGGGGAAGGTTTTCTTGAAATGCTTTTCTATATAGGACACTACTTAGAAAAAAAAATAGAATGAGAGAGAGAGAAGGAAGAAGAGTATGTATAGATCGGGACTGAAGACCCAGAGAGCCCTTCTCTTCTTTGAGATACATGAGGTTCAGGACTCTGCAGTGTAAAGTGTGTGAACAGCAACAGTCGGAGATGACCTGAGAGAGGCACGTCACTGTATGAAAGCAACGGCCACCACTTTTTACACGACAAAAAGTCCTGCGTTTTCCTGATATTCTGTGGAGATTTTCATGATGAACACTTGAGGTCAGACTGAGCTTCAGCCCTGCACTTCTAAATTCTGGATTCTGGGTTATTTCACTTCTGAAATGTCTGCACACTTCACTGTGAGCTCAAGTAAAGAGTGAGCTGATGGATGGGTAACATATAAGGCTAGATTAATGTGTTTAAAGATAAAAAAAATCTGCTAAATAAAAACGCAATTCCCTTTTACTTCCGAGAAACATAAATCTTAAAATACTTGTTTTTAAGAATCTTCCGTTGGTCCAGTAACGAGCACTTAGACAAATGCTACTCAACAATGTTAAAACCAAAACAATTTAAAAGACCATGTCAGATTCAAACTTAGGACTCAATATTTGGGTGTCATTACATCCTTTCACATTCCTTTAAAAAAAGACATAATGGACGTAATTGATGTAAAAGAGTAAGAACAGATTCAAAGAAAAGTCTGAGAGAATGAGATCAGACAGAAAAATCAGCGTCAAAGTGGTGAAACACACATGTCCAGACACACATGGCGACCAAGTGAAGTTCTCTGGTTCTTCTGGGTCATTTTGAAGATCCAGCGTAAAAGTATCCCATGCTGCCCCATCATTTCCTGTCTTGCTTGGTCATCTATTAGAGACAGGGAACACTGTGACACCCGCTCATCAGTTACCAAACCCACACTCTATTCTCCCATCATGCACTTGGTAGCTTAAACTGGCGCAGTCAGAAAACCAAAGTCCGGGATTGTTTAAATTTGTGTTCCACAATGCAGCGAGACATTGGATGTGGGACACTCTCCCAAAAACAAAAAAAGATGGATGACACATGATTGGCCAAGACCTTGCCCATGACAACTTTTTCAACCAGTGGGATTGTAAAGCCAGGCAAACACAGTAGCTCTGCTCATGCTTCTTCATCGTCATCATCAGTGCCTTGAGTCTGGTATAGTCTCATGATTCTGATGTAGTGGTGCAGCTGTACATATGAAGGTGTGTGTAGGGAGGGAGGAGGAGTGCTGGCCAGAATACATGTTCATGTGTATGTGAGTGTACTTCTCATATAACTGCACTGTTCATGCTGCTGCAGCTGTTATTGCGGTTATTGTTCCTGCGTGACAGGTTTGGGGTGGCCATGAGTGGGTAACGCTCATCAGGGCAGCCGTACTGCAGGAGGACGTCCATACACTCCTGACTGTTAGCCTGCCGTGCGTATGCCAGTGCCGTATTGCCGTGAGCATCCCGTGCCATGATGTCAACGCCGTACTACAGAGAGAGAGAAAGAACGTTAGCAAGAGAACATGCTATTATTATGATCCTAAGAACAGAAAATTACATTTAAATAGTGAGAGTAAATTAGGGAAAGTCTGACGAGCCATGTGCTGTCAGCTGCCATGTGTTATAGCTGCGCCTCTGCATATGCGTCATTAAAATTGTTATTTTTATTCATATTATAAATATTGTTAATATTATATTAACATTTTAATAAGGTCCCTTATCTTAACACGTTGAGCAAAGAGTTATTGAACAATGGGGTAGTTAAAAACTAGATTTGAACAAACCGATCAGAGAGAAAGGCTTAACAGCAAAAATAGGATAGATAGATAGATACAGTGTTGGGGAAAGTTACTTTTAAAAGTAATACATTACAATAATGAGTTACTCCCTAAAAAAGTAACTACTTGAATACTTAGTTACTTTTTATGGAAAGTAATGCATTACGTTACTTTTTCTCATCTGGGCTTGGCCTGCTTGTATGTTTTTAATATAAAAAAAGTTATATTTTTTGGCATATGTAAAAGCTCTTTCACACCAAAAGTAAAATGAATAAGCCTCATTTATGTAAATTTAAATGTAAATTCAATTATTAACGTATGTAATTATTGCAGGTTTGCGTAGTATTCTGAGTTTATTGATTTTGAGGAATACTAAATCTGTTTTTGTGCAAGTGAGATAATTAAATGCATCTTCATATTTAGTCTAGAACTACAGTAACTATTGTATTTACACATTTCACACAACGCCTCTGCACTTACTGCAGATTTTTCTCACCATGGGAACAGGAGAACTGTTAGTCAATAAATGGGAAAACAAATAACTGGCGTTACTTATTTGAAAAACTCAGATATTTTACTGTAAATGAAAAAGTAATGCATTACTTTACTAGTTACTTGAAAAAAGCAATCTGATTACATACCTCAAGTTACTTGTAATACGTTACCTCCAACACTGGATAGATATATAAATATTTTAAAAATTATCTACATCAGTCTGATACAACATCAGAAAAGGCTTATTTCTGCCCTTTCAAAAACCCTTGTCAGTTATTTATCATTCCATATGCACATTAATGTTTGATGCCTTCCCTTGAAATTTGTAAAATACTTGATTAGAACCATATAGCACAATTTATTTGGAATTGTAGTAAATGTACAAACAAAACACTTTATGAACTTATGTACAAATGTTTTTGCTGATGACCTTTGTTGACCTTAATCCCATCATACAAACACCAGAAATGTTAATTATTGTAGCTAACAGTCGTGTCTGTTCCATTTTTTATTATTGCTGAAATTAAGAGAGCTGAACTTGCTTGCTAGTCAGCTGACAGACCAGATGAAATGTGTTCAGCATATTGAATTGACAGATAATCGAACAGACCATTCAACTGAGCCCCTTTGAGCTTTTTCAGGTTGCACATTTGTTGTGAAAAGGTCTTTACTCAAAACCCACACCCTGGCCATTAGTTTGTTGTGTGTTAAAAAAAAAAAGTGTAGCTCTTACCCATATGAGCAGTTGCATGATCACAACATTCCCCTTGCGGCAGGCCAGGTGTAGGGCTGTCCGGCCATCACCTTCCCCACAGGTATCGTTGACCTCATCTCTGGAGCCATGGGCCAGCAGTATGACCACGAAGCGCAAGTCTTCCTCCGCCGTGGCCCGCAGTAACTGCTGTCCCAAAGTCAGCTCTGTGCACGTCAGCGACGCCAAAAACAACTTCTGCTCATATTTGGCTCTGATCCAGCGCTCACGTTCCTCTCTGAAAGCACACATACACACAGAAACCAGATTTAGGCTCAGGATTGAATTAATGCTGGCCTGTCAACACATGGCATGTTTTGATCTCGCTCTCATTCCAACTGACATTTAAAATTTGATGGGATTCGTGTACAGCTTTTTGATTTCGTTCCCAGTCCTGCGCCAAACATTTACTAGCTCTCACATCTCTATTACACACAGCAGCATCTAGACCTTAATACACTAGAAAAAATATTATACTGAGCAGAACAGAAACAATATAACCACAGCAGACATTCTGAATGGTTGCTGTCTACGTGTGTAAATTTATGTCTCACTTCATGGACTGTAAAGGCCGCAATACACTCGCATCAAAGATCTTTTTTGTTCCTCGCTCGCTTAGGGGTAGGGATGAACAATATGGTAAAAAATTATCACGATAACATTTTTCATATCAGTCGATATCGATAATGATCACGATAAGTCTTTATTTCTTTCAAATTTAAAGATAGATTTTTGGTCCTAAGTGAAAGTTGTAGAAACAAGACCATTAATTGTGGGTTTTAAACTACTCTTTATGGTCAGAACAGGACAAACACTTCACGTTCTTGAATTCTTTACACTTTTGCTGTCATTTTTCCTTAACAAAATAAATATCTTAATAGAAAAATGTACTTCTTATTTTCTGCATGTTCTAATGAGTGAAAAATCATGAAACAGGTTTGTGTTGCCTGACTTTGATGATGCACATTTTTAGCACAGTTTGCAGTGCAGGCTGCAATATTAATAATACTACACTTTTTTTGTCTCTTAGAAATGCACATTTGACAGTAGCTTGAATTGACAGTAGTAGTAGCTTGAGTTAGGATGCAGATGTAAATTTAATACAATGGCAATTTGTATATTGAAAAGCCTTCGGACTGGATCGTTGCACACAGTGTTTCTCCTGTTTGTCAGCGCTGTTTCATCTGGCTTTAAACTAGTTTAAATCACTGAGTCATTTGTGATAGAAACGGTCCGGTTTTGGCATGGTTAAAAAGAGTAGCACAGTTTTGTTCCACTTTTGTAACATCAACATTTATAAAATTCTTGTTATCATTTTATCGAGGAAAATTATATCGCAATAATTATCATAATCGTTTTAATGCTCAGCCCTACTTAGGGGTAAAACAAATTTGAAATACCTGAGAAGTGGAATATTTTTTAGCAAACATCCTGTTGCCACCCATTCTACTGGGGGTGGTGATTAGATGAATATGTAAATATGCGGTTTGTGCTTTTGGCTCAATATCAATATGTATAAATAAATATATATTAAAATGTCAGAGGTGAGAAAACGGCAGTTAAGAAAGCATCTGATCATAGCGAAGTGGATATGTTGACCCAGCTCTGAAATTCAGCACTTCAGTCAAGTCACATCATGTTTATTTATATAGCACTTAATACATGAGAATGTTTTAAAGCAAGCACTTTACAGTATTAAACATGAAGAAACAGTGTTAGCGTGGCTTTCAATTAAAACTACAACTTAAGTGTTTACTATAAAGCAGCTCTCCAGTGTGTTCATATTTTTACTTGCGTGTGTTTTGCGTATTATCACAAAATTTGTGGACAGAACTTGTGGAGAGTTTCTCTTTCAAATTCCCAAAATGAACTCCAAACTAATGGTTTGGCCTGATTTTGTTTGTGATGTCCCACCAGTTCGATTCTGCTTGTAAATCAGGGCCTTAAGAATGAACAGGTTCAGCAAAAAACAAACAGAGAGGAAGCAAGCGACACAATGAAGTGGCTGAATGAAGTGGCATAAAAGTGTAAGAACGCAAGTGTGCGTTTGACAGGGTAACCGCGAACAGGAGAGGGCCATCAGCAATCGTTGGATCATTTACAGCATCCCCTCCTCAAACTGTGCTATGATAGCACTTAATCTCTGTTAATCCCCGCAGAGTAAACAGCCTTTCTCAGACAACTCAGGATTAGTTCAGCTTCAGCTCCTATCTGAGGGGCAGAGGGAGTTCTGATACCCCCAAGGAGGGGAAGGGAGTTGGGCAGAGGATATTGAGCTGTTCCCTAAAACACAGCTGCCCCTCAGGGAGTCCAAACACATGAGAGCAAAGAACAGACATCCTACCGTCACAATTCCTCCTCAAAAGGAGCATCTGGACAGGAACAAAGTGGACAGCCGATGATCGCAGACGTAAAGACAAAAATCTATCTTAAACAGCAATGAAGTCGCTTCCATTTTCAGATTTTGATGAACAGACCTTGCATTAGACATTTCATTTGATATAAATGAAAACTAGTTGTGATGGAGAAGTATAGACTAGGACTAGGGATGGGTACCGAAACTCGGTATTTAATCGGTCTCGGGGCTAAATTATGAAAGACCGGAGTATCGATAAGCTCTGACGTTAACGGTTCTGCTATCGGTACTGGAGAAATTAATAAAACACACATACATTTATTATTGCTTTATATATCTCCAAGCCGGCCATTTGGAGAGTATTTACTTAAACACAGTTTATGTCTTAAGTGGAGGAGAACAGTTGGGAGAAAATCCGATGTGTGTCAATATATTGTCTTAAAAGTGACAGACTGGCGCTTGGGCCATCAAAAAGCAAATCTGCTCTTAATCTGAATAACGTTATAGCTTTAATAAGCATTAATCTATCAATGCATACAATGAAAACTATGCAGTGCTCATTTACATTTGATTACTTTTAGATTTCTTTTGTAGGCTATTACTTACCTGAACAGTAATGTTAGTAGAACTTCATGGAAAAATTACAGCACTGTTTATTTCATTTCATTTGTATATTTGTTTATTGTATTTGTCAGTTTGTTTTACTTTGTTTCTTTGTTCATGTTCTTACTGTATCTTATGTATAAAACACTAAAAATGCCTGCACACTGGTGCATTTAAAAATTGATGTTTTATATTTATTTCATTAAATGTTTATTTTACATTTCAGAATATAAAGCAATGTTAATTCAGCTCTTAATTTGTCATATATATAT